TTTTAGTTGCGAAAAAAATGAGTCTGGGAGGCCTTTAGTATACGAAAATGTATCATAATAAGCCAATGAATTTTACTCGTTGCCATAAAATGTATACCCTAGGTCCATGGAGACCTCAATTGTCCATGTTTCACAAAAGAGTAAAAATATGTGAAATACATTTTTCCATGACATACGAGATGGAAATCCAGTGCAGGATATATGCTGAGGAAAAAAATCAACATGACCATGACCTGTGTCACTAACAAACTCCAACCGCCCCGGCGTCACACCAACGGCCTCACGCATCTCGCTCCCGCCAGGATGGTGATGACGCTGGCCTACGACGGACACACGCGCAACAGCGAGAACATCGGCTACGACGCCTTCATCAGCTTCACCATCGCCGGCGCCGTCGAGTTCCCCGCCGACGTCCTCACGATGATATTGACGGAGTACCTGGGTCGGCGCCACACCACCGTCTGGTCGCTCATTGTCAGCGGTCTCGTCGCCCTCAGCATTGCGTTCGTGCCTGAAGGTGAGCAGACCTTGTCCGGAAGCATCATCGTCTGTTCTTAAAAGTCTTCTCAGTAGTCTATATGTTGTATATTTAAGTGAATGCATTTATGAAATATATGATAGGAAGTATTTATATCTGTTTACATATAATGATGTGTTTTTATAGACAGCACCGTAATCATTATGGGACTGGCCTTCACTGGCCGGTTCCTCATCACTATGACAATGAACGTGGGGCATCAGTACCCAGTGGAGATTCTGCCCACGATTGCTCGGGGGCAGGGGATGGGCACCATGCAGACCCTCGGATTCCTCTCCGCATTTGCATCTCCTTACATCGTGTACCTGGTATATATTACCGTCTTAGAGCAAAATATTTTCAAAGCTAATACTTGTCTTCTTGATCAACCCACCATACTTTCAGCTATTCAGTTTTCAATTTAGTTCCGCTCCAAATGGGATTAGAGTCATCGGATTGCCATTTCATATTCAGCCTCTGAATATGAGCTCTTGAATTATATCATGAACTTTCTGAATTAGTGATAAGATGTTGCCGCTCATGAGTCATTGCTGTTGATAATTCCTTTTGGTATTAAGTAAAGGTTGTTTATAAAATACATAAAATAGCATGGAATTACAAAAGTTAACTGTATGAAAGAGCGTTTATGAAAATATACTTTTAAATTGGATGAGAAACATTATTTTAACTCTTAAAAACTGTGTATATAAGTTTTATTAACCAATGAAAATATTTTAGAATAAATGGAGGAAAATAGTCACATAAGAGAAAGAGAGAGAGAGAGAAAAAAAAAGTTTCACGCAAATTTAGAAATATTCATTTACAAACTTACGTATCCCTCTCCCCCCCCCCCTGCGCCTTCCTCAGTCCAAGTATGGCTCGTTCTTGCCCTACGTGATCCTCGGCGTCATCACGATCCTGGGCGGAATCGCTTGCCTCTTCCTGCCGGAGACACTGCACGAGAAACTGCCCGACACTCTGGAAGACGGAGAGACCTTCTTCAGCGGCCAGAGTCTGTGTTACAACCCGTGTGCAAGGTACGAGGGAGAGGGTGGGAAGGGGAGGTAAGGTGAGGGAAGGGGAGGGGAGGTAAGGGGAAGTAAGAGGAGGCAGGAGGAGGGAAGGGGAGGGGAGGGGAAGGGGGGGAGGCGAAAGGTGACAAGAAATAAGAAGTAACAGAGGAGCACATCACCATTTGTACAGCTGTAGTAATATGGCCCACAACGTTACAGTAGAGTGGATATGAATATATATATATATATATATATATATATATATATATATATATATATAGATAGATAGATAGATAGATAGATAGTATATATATATATATATATATATATATATATATATATATATATATATATATATATATATATATATATATGTATATATATATATATGTATATATATATATATATATATATATATATATATATATATATATATATATATATATATATATATATATATATATGTATGTATATATATGTATGCATGTATGTATAATATATAAAATTAAACACGAAATCTTTATGTCAAAAGCATATATTACCCTTTATGAAATTGTATTCATCTTACAAATGAGCACTTGCTATGTATAAATGTTTCCTTCCTTCCTTTTCCCTTCCAGATCCAAGGCAAGGGACTCTGAAGCTAAAGAGATGAAGGCGGCAGGACAAGACAATACGGCTTTTCAAATTGACAGCGTATAACATTATCTACATTATATTTTTAACGTTAGGTTGTAATTTCATTGCTTGAAAATGATGCTCACTTGTTATGTGATTCATGTTGTAACAGATATTACATTATTTTTTATACAGCTGCTTTCTTCACAACCATCTACTGACTGAATGTTAAGATACGAAGGCGTTATTTTTTAAATTGATAAATAATTCGTAACGATATGCGAGTTTTTTCTTCACCACAAAATGTATATTTTCATCAGTTACCACGTGTTGGGCCGAGGTCTGTCTATTA